GCAGCTAACAACTGTCCGTAACTCCAGTCCAGGGGATCCGACAGCATCTTCTGACCTCCAAGGGCATTGCACGACATGGGTGCACTTACCTACATGTAGGCAATACACGCATACACATAAAATAAAAATAATACATAAAAATTTTTTTTAAAAATGCCCCAAGGACAGACACCTGTTGTGCTAATGGGGCCTACAGGCATGTAGGTACACACCATAGTCTCACATATAACTTTAGAAAGTTATATGTTGACTGCCAGTTGCTTGACAAAATATCTACTTACCACTTTTGGTGATGTGTGCGTGCGTGCGTGCATGTGTGTGTGTGTGTGTGTGTGTGTGTGTGTGTGTTATGGTGCTGGTGATCAAACAACCAAGGACCTTACGTGCATGTGTGTGTGTGCGTGTGTGTGTGTGTATGTTATGGTGCTGGTGATCAAACAACCAAGGACCTTACAAGTGCTGGATTAACATTCTGCCACTATGCCCCAGCTCCAGGTCTTCACCCACAGGTTTATTTACAAGTTTTTCTATAGCTAAAAGGTTTAATTGTAAAAAACATTTAATGCCACTAAATTTTGAGTTGATAATTTTTATAAAATAGAAAAGTATAGTGATATCAAATGATGATTTTTAACTTCCAAAGAACCAAAGGTAGCTTACTCTAAATGAGTTATCTATTCCAAGGTGGAGTCTCTCCTCTACAAGTCACTAAAGGGCTGTTTGCTAGGAGTTTCATCTCTCACTCTGATACTGTTTCACACTGGCCACAGCCTGTTTGCCAACCCTAAGGACATCCTAGAAGTATATCATTTGATGCTGCCTGTGGTTATGCCATTTCCCCGTGTGTTCCCTCCCTCCCCCGGCCCCACTTAAAAATAAAGTAGATTTTGTGGCAATCTGTTTTGTCTGGTTTGGTTTTGGATTTTTTTTTTTATTTAATGTGTATATGTGTATTGCCTGCTGTAGGTAAGTGCACCCGCATCATGCAATGCCCGCAGGGGACAGAAGAGGCTGTTGGGTCCCCGAGAACTGGAGTTACAGACAGTTGTTACCTGCCATGTGGGTGCTGGGATTCGAACCCAGGTCTTTTGCAAGAACAACCAGTGTTCTTAACCGCTGAGCCATCTCTCCAGCATGGATGTTTTGTTTTGAGACAGGGCTTTTGCTGTAGCCCAGACTGGCCTGAAACTTGTGACTTCAAGCCGGTTCTCCTGCCTCCACCTCCTGAGTGCTGGTATGACAGGCTGACCTTCAGAAACTCTTTGCTAACTGTCCACTAGAATTTGCTCTGGACTTCGTATCTTCGAGTGTGATGCTGTGAAGAACACTAAGGGGACATGGTAAAGTAGCAGCTTTTAATATCCTTCCATAATTGAGTATAAAACATCATGACCTGGGCTGGAAAGATGGCTCAGTGGTTAAGAACACTGGTTGTTCTTGCAGAAGACCGAGGTTCAAATCCTAGCATCCACATGGCAGCTAACAACTGTCTGTAACTCCAGTTCTAGGGGATCCAATGGTCTCTTCTGTCCTCTGTGAGTATCTCATGGCACGTGTGCTCTTACCTACATGCAGGCAAAACACTCATACACATAAAATAAATAATTTTTTAAAAAGATTAACTATCCATATGGACTCTTATGAAATTATATTAGCCCCATTAATCTTGGTTATACTTTCCTTTTGGGTGTTTAAGGCCATACAGTTGGTCCAGATAAACCGATTTATTTTTACTCTTAAGGTCATTTGAGGATCTGTTCCTCAGGGGTCACATGGGCTTGGGAGGAGACCCAATAACAGACAGCCAATATCTTCTTTTGAATTGTTGGCCAGTGTGGCCAAAGGGATTCCCAGATAGTAACCCAGCATAGACCTGGGAAAATGAACAGCAGACCCCAATCTTATC